TTTTGATCCTCAGCTTCAAATAGGCTCTCTGTGCTACTGCATTTCACAGGTCAACTCTCTTCCACAATCCCTATCAAAACTGGTTTAGATGACTCCTACTTAGCCTACATTCATCTTCAAATTAAGTGAATATTCATTATACACCATGCATTGCATACTATACCTCATCTGTTGCTCTCCAATTTCACAGAATAAACAAAATCTCTTGAAATAGAATTCCTAGGGCTGGGGAAATGGCTCAGTGGAGATGAACACTTGGTATAAAAACAAGCGAAACTGGATTCAGATTCCCAGCACCTACATAGAAGCCAAACATGACATCATGTGCCTGTAACCAGAGTGCGGGGGAATAGAGTCAGGCAGGTACCACCACCAGCCATCCTAGCCAAAATACTGAGCCTCAGGTTGAATGAGTGACCCCTCTCAAGGAACAGAATCTTCCAACATCTTCCTCTAGCCTTTCTGTGCTCATGTTTGTTGCTCCCTTCAATGTTTTCTCACTTAATATTTCTGAACTAGAATAAAACCTAGTGCATTTTGCAAAGTATGCAAGTTTGCAAAGTTCAGAGTTAACTGTACTTTCTGACATTTCATGGGCACTATTTTATAATTTAAACATAAATTTATGTTTATAATATTAAAATCCCTAACGGTTAAAGTATATTCAAACTCAATGTTAAATCTGTTTAAATGATGTAGTCCCTGCATCCATGCTTTACATAGTGGAATTAGTTCCTTTTCTTGTTGTTGTGACAAGATATCCTGACAAAGGGAGGAAGGAAGAATTTCTTTTTGGCTCACAGTTCAAGGGTACCTTCCATCTTGACAGGGAAGTCAAGGCAGCAGAAGTTGAAGGCAACTCATTAACTGCCACCTCATCTTAGACTTCTTCCTGTCAAAATTTCCAATCTATACCCTATATTTTCAGCATTCAAGAGGCTAAGGAAGAGGAATTATGTGTTTCAGGCCAACATGGGCTACATGAGTATTTCTAGGCTAGCTTGAGATGCACAGGAAGACCCTGCCTCAACGATGATAAACAAAATAAAATAATATATATTTAAAATATTTCTGTTAGGTTGGTGAGATGTTTCAGCTGGTAAATAGACTAACTGCCAAGCCTAATACTAATAATATCAGTTATAGAAGGCCCCGCACTTTCTATGGAACAGAATAGGGATGTGATGGGGGTCAGTGGACATGGGAGGATGGGAGAGAGAGGGAACTGGGATTGATATATAAAATAAGATTGCTTCTAATTTAAATAAAAAGAAAGCTACTAGTAGTAAAATAATCTATAATAGCTGTTCCCTCTTATGATTCGATTAAGAATTATAGTTGAGCAGTTAATACAAAAAATATGGTTAAGTAGGGATCATAATAATAAAACATTACTTAAACTGGTCTTTTAGTTTAAATAGTCACAAGTGTTTTCCTTATGTGTTAAATCTCTTTGAGAGGATGTCCACTGATTGGAGTCCTTCATAAGGCACACTGATAATGCAATCTGTTTGATTTCCAGTTCCTGTTTCTTTAGTGTAGAAAGAATGTATCAGGAAACATGGTAAGCATTCTGATCTCAGACTCCTAAGTTATACTCTTATCTAACTGACAACATTTGCTTTTATTTTTCTTTAGAAAGAAAGTTTGCAGACTGTTTAGCCTGGTTTTCAAGAAATGGTAGCTTTTTATCTTTAAAAGAGAATACTTATTTGATTTTGGATGTTGCTAATTAAATTGTCATTATAATATTGATGAAAACAGGTTTGTAGAATTGAATAAAAAGGACAGCTGCAATGTACAAGCAAATAGCATTTGAACTAAAGAGAGGAGAAGAGCAAGTCATGCAACAGATATTGCAAGCATTTTTACTTACTTGCAGATCACCACAAGGATCATCAGCTATCATTGGTACAAAAGAGGAAACCAAATGTTACCAAGATACTGAAGAGTTTAGAAAAGGAGAAGGGTATATTTTAAAAGGAAAACAAAAGGGGAATGAGTATTGGAGCTTACGTTTTACTTCTTTTTACCTTCAACAGATCCAGCATTGTTCCTAGGGTTTGGAGAGAGAAAGTAAGAATTAAAATGTTAGAATAAAAGCACTGGAACATGCCTACTACATATCAAAACTGTGATCTAAGTATGAGATATCTTGGAAACTGAGCACCTCACTAGTTCACACAAAAAGACATCCTGCCATCTTGCCAATTTCACAGTGGTTCCTATTTCCCATTCAACCTCGCATGTTTATCTGTGCTTATTAGAAATGTATGTGATAATCTAAAAGGACATGATTGCCCTTTGTAACCATCATCATCCTTGTCCAGGTTTCCCCACTGACATTTCAGAAGTCTGTTTTCTAACATTTATATTGCATTATATTGCAGAAAACTAAATAATTATGAATCATTTCTTTTGAGAGACAAATATCCATATATAGGTGTTAATAGCCTTTCCACCTGGGCACTTAGTGTAGATTCTTTTTACAGATTTATTTCTTCATAAGGTTCATAAGGAAATAAAGTCATTTTTTGCTAACAACATCTATCATTTCAATGTGATTCCATTTTTATTTCACCAATACATATATATATATATATATATATATATATATATATATAACAGGAGTTTTAATATGTATACATATATATATATATTGTAAATGTCACAAATATTATCCTGTTAAATATGCATTTCAGTAGTTCAGTAGTGGTTATCCTGTTCTTCGCATGGAAAAATCATCACTAATATACTGAGATTTCACCAAAGGAAACCATGATTTTAATATATTTTAATGACCGTTTTTATTAAAAGCTGGAGTGGCTGGTATGGTGTCATGCACTTTGATCTTAGTGCTGAGGAGGAAGAATCAGGTGAATCTCAGGAGTTTAAAACCACTCCAGTTTGCATATTGAGTTCCAGGCTAACCAGGTTTATTTACGGAAAAGTCTGTCTGAAAAAGAGTTCTCTAAGTTCTGCTTTATAGGATAAGGCAGGGGGATTGCTTTGAATTTGAGAGCAGCTTGGCTGTAGCAAGACCTTGTATTAAACCAAACACTCTAAGTTCAAATTATTCCTCTTTTGGTGACCCTCTCACTCTTGGGGGTTCTTTTTCATTTTTCCTGAATAAATCTACATTTTCTGTGCTAAAATATTCAAAAAAGTGATTGTCCTGCTGTATTTCATATGAGAACAATTTAAGAGTCTTATACTTTGTAAATGTTATTTGTTAGTTGTTAGGTATTCAGGTTGATGTAAGAGGATAATACCACCCTTCTTTTGATTGTACAAACCAGCTTCTATTTAGAATCAAAAGAAGTAAAAGGGCTATGGATGAGGGTATTACAAAAAATATGCCTTTATAAAACCAGTGAACACCAGACAGGGAAGTAATACCTCCCAGATCAAGCAAGTCTAATAGAGAGTCAACTCAGTGATGCTGTCCTTGTGCACAGGCATTACATTATATAAACTGTTCTCCTAAGAGAGGAAGTTTGTCCTTTAGATGTCGCTCACTGGAACATTTGGTTGTCATGCATCATGTTAAAGATCCATAAATGCCAACTCAATAGGGTAGCTATGATGCATGACAATATACTCTGCATATCTGCATAGCGTTCTGTTCAACAGATCTTCATGATGCATCACATCAGAGACTCCTGCTTTCAAACTTCAGAAACATCCAAAATCCCCATGGGAGCCTTACAAAGTCTTTACTGCAAGGGCTAAAATAGCATGAGAGCAGGAAGTCATCCTCGGCTGACAAAATACCCTCCTCCCTAAACGAAAGTATTTATTATGTAGTAGGTACAAAGGATGAATGTACCATTATGATTTAGTTTATCTTTCCATTGTAAAAAATAATCCATTACAACTTGAAATATAGAATTTAGAATCTAGCAGCATTTTATTTGTCATGTAATTTTGTCATTCCAGAATTTTTGTGGAGTTACATAAAGTCATAATTAAGAATATGCACTCTGAAGTAAGCAATTCAAAATTTGTATCCCAGGATACCAGTAAAAGTTTGGCACTATTTAAAGTCAAGTTTAGTTTCTCAAAGGTAAAATGAAAATGCTCCAAGTACCAGTCACAGATGGTTGTTGTGTAGGAAAAAGATTAGTTAATTTGTGGGTAAAGCTTATCACAACATTATGTACCAAGAAAGCACTAATAAACATGCGCTGCTGTAGTGTATTAGTCTATTTGGGCATCTATTACAAAAGAAAATACCATAAACCAAGTGAGCTACACACAACAGAAATCGAGTTCTGTCATTTTGTAGGTTAGTAAGTACAAGTTTTAAATGCTAGCAAATATAATGTCTGGTAACTATCTATTCCTCATAGCTACTGCCTCTTACTACTTCCTCACATAATCAAAGGGACTAGCTTCATCTCTGAGGTCTCTTTTATAAGGGCATTATCTTGGCTGTATTTTATTGGTGCAACAAAACACCATAACCAAGGAAACTTAGAGAAGAAATAATTTATTGGTTGCTTACAGTTTCTGAGGGTGAGTCTGTGGCCAACATGGCTGATAGGATGGCAACAGAAAAGTAAATTGTTGGAGCAGTAGCTGATAGCTCACATGTCATCCACAAGCAAGAGTCAGAGAGAGTTAACTGGGAATGTCATTGGCTTTGGGAATCTCAAAGGCCACCCCCATTGGCATACCTCCTACAGCAAGACCACACCTCATAATCCTTTTCAAACAGTTCCACCAACTGAGGGCCAACCATACAAATATAGAACCCTATGGGGGGCCATTCTCATTCAAACCACCACAGGCACTAATTCCAAACTTCACTTTTCAAACAGACTGCCTCCTAATATCATTGCCAGAGAGCTTACAGTTTATATGCATTGATGATATTAGCACTTTCAGATCAAAGAGTGAGCATCCCTGGCATTACACCCCAAACAGAATAAGATGTCTTATAGTTCCAACATGTCTAGATTTTTTTGTTTTAAAGGATTTTTCTTTTTGACTCATAGGTACTTCGGGGAGAAACTGCCCCTCTTAAAGAGAATGTCAATCAAGTCAATGACCTTGCTCGCCAGCTTACCACATTGGGCATTCAGCTCTCACCTTATACCCTCAGCACTCTGGAAGATCTGAATACCAGATGGAAGCTTCTGCAGGTAGGCCTGCTGTGAGCATCATTGCTCCTTGGTATAGTAAAATGCCATGTACATAACGTTTAATTGTAAGGAGCAACAAAAGTTACTCATTTTTCCAAGCATATTGCTGTATGCTTTTCATTTCAGCACTTGCAAGGCAGAGCCAGGTGAATCTCTGAATTTCTGGCCAGCCTGTTCTACATGGTGAGTTCCAGGCTAGCCATGGCTATATAGCAAGAATATGTTGCATAAGGGTAATAATTTGATATTCATAATGGCATGTGGATTTGTATTGTTTTTTTTTTCGAGACAGGGTTTCTCTGTGTAGCTTTGGAGCCTATCCTGGCACTCTGGATACCAGGCTGGCCGGGAACTCACAGGGATCCACCTGCCTCTGCCTCCCAAGTGCTGGGATTAAAGGTCTGCACCACCAACGCCCAGCTGATTTGTATTGTTTGATAAGCCCTTATGTTACTAAACTCAATTCAGAAATGTCTGAAAGCTAGAGTTCAGTATGTCTTGTAAATACATGAAAGACAGTGGTGAACCACAATGGAGGAACTGAATTACTAATAGACAATTCCTTTGTGATGGTGTTGCTTGGATTCTGAAAATATCCATCCCTTTGCAATTCTCTTTGAATAAAGAGTCAATAGTGTGGAATAAATTGTCTTAAGAAGAACAAGTAACATATCATAATTCCATACATAGAAGTTTTTCATAGGTTTGTATAGTAAATATAGGGAATGGGCATGTGTTCCAGGTGTCATTTACTTACTGTGGCACCTTGGACAATTTACTGAAGCTTTCTGTCCTTTAGCCTTTCCTCTAAAAGTTAATAGAATTCTCTACATTGTGCATTTTGTGTGTTAGGATAAATAAGTCACAATATTAGTATAATAATGAGTCATTGAAACAGAACTTGTTTTAAGGTACCCTATACATGCTAGATCTTGATGTTATTGCAATTATTACTATGAGGATAATACACAGACTTGGGAATCTGACTGATTAGCTATGTGTCATTTGTGCCATTTAACCTCTATGGTTGTCAGTACCTTCATCTACAACATAGATGCAATAATGTTGAATGATCTAATTCACACAGGTTTTAGAATAGCATTTGCCTTACAATGGGAACATAGAAATGGCTATAGTGGTAGTGTATATTTCCTCTACAAAGGACATTGTGTTATGTCTCCAAACTATAAAACTGATTTAGCCATAAAATTAGAGACTTATATTTTTCTTTTCCAATTTCATAGGTTACAGATTGTATACTCCTGTGACTAGAAAGAAACTAGGCTTGAAAGTATTTGGCTTCAAAGTTTTGATAATGAAAAAATGATAAACCAGGTTCCTCTGCCATCAATGGTCAATTTGAGAGTATGATTAAAAGTCCACTTACAGAATTGCTGGATCTTTAACTAAAATAAACAAATAAGTTTCAAATTCCAGACCCATTGAGATCTTATATAATTTAATTTTTGCATGATAATCACAAAATATTCATATGGCATATTGTTATCTGTGGCATTGACAATACTGGTAAGTGATATGTCCTTTCGCCCCATGGTAGTTTGGTACTATTAAAATCTTATCAGTTTAATCCTTAAATATATATTTTATTTAAAGCATAAATGAGTAAAGTGATGAGTGTCCAAAGGAATCCAAAGGTCACATTTGTTCTGTTCAAGCATTCTTGGATTGAATTTTCAATTTTCCTGTAAAAGGCTAAGTGTTAACGTTTGTGTTTCAAAATGTAGTACAAGATTGGTGACAGCTGCATATAGATTTATGACTGAGGTCAAAAGAGTATGAATGATAGGAATAACTCCTTTGAATCAATGCTCCGTGGGCCAGACATAGCAGTGTACCCTTTAATCCCAGCATTTGAGAGGCAGAGGTAGACAATCTCTGTGAAATCCAGGCAAGGCTGCTACACATAGTGAGCTTCTGGACAGCCAGAGCTACATACTGAGATTCTGTCTCAAAAATAAAAAGCAAACAAAGAACCAATGCTGTGTAAGCTTGAGATTATAACTCAGTGGTAGAATGCTTACCTAGAAAGTACCAGGTCCTGGGTTATAGCCACAGCACCACAAAATCCTTTATGATCCAGTCAAGTTATGCTATTTATTTGTAAAGCATAAGAAAAATATTAATAGTTTAATTTTACACAAGGATGCGATCGTAAGTACATGGAAATTTATGAAATGAGATTGTGGACTGTAGAAAAATAGTACAGTCTTTATTGGGTTAATTGTTAACATCTCTAAGCTACAATTCTTATTTTTGAAACATAATAATTCAATTTGGCATTTCTATGATCCTGTATCTGAGTAACAGGAAGAGAGTCACATGACAAAATTTAGTTTAGAACCAATGATGATGCTTCTTTTATTCACATCATAATATATATGTAGCTATTTGCAATTACATTACTTCTTCCATAACTCTAAACCTTTTATCTTGAGGCTATATAGACATAGACTTCTCATGTTAAACAATTTATTCAGTATTTGGTTCATGCTTCTCCTGTACGTAGTGAGTTTAATGCTTTTATTTTTAGGATAACTTTAAAGATATCCTTAGAAAGTATGTCTAGCAGAAAGTTGATGAACCCAAGATTTTGATTTACACATAACTGAGTCAAGTCTATTACATACTTTATTTACTGTTAAGTTCTCACCACACTGCTATGTAACTCTAGTTAGTCATAAATGTGATGCATTATTCAGAAAGGAAACAAGGCAAATAGAGAAAACTATCCATGTGAATGAAAGTTCATGCCTCTGACATTTGTAGGAAACACTATCTCTGTTGATTATTGCCAGGCTATGTGTGCCCCTCTTCACTGCTGCAGCTCATAGGTGTCACAGCTGAGTGGGATTGTTGGTTGCTTTCCTCCTTTGGAAGTTTGTGTAGGAACTTTTGGTACCATGAAATCTTGTTCTCAGTGGGCGGGGAGTTTCAGGTTAGTTCCAGATCTGCTTCCCAAAGTCCATTGTCCAAAGTGACTTCTGAAAACAGGAGAAATGGTATTCCTCAGTGATGATTCCTCAGTTGGTCATCCAATACAAAGTCATCATCCCTGAGATCACATACATAGAAAATAATGTTAGAGGGAGTGAGAAAATTGTGTTAATATATTTAGGAATATATCCGCGCGCGCGCGTGCGCGTGTGTGTGTGTGTGTGTGTGTGTGTGTGTGTGTGTGTGTAACAATTTTAAAAGGAGGACATGAATTTTAAGAGAGCAAGATGGGCTTAAATTGGAGGGATTGAAGTGAGCAAAGGGGGAAATGATATCATTATATTAAAATTTTATTAAAAATAAAACATAGTTCATAGTGCAAAAATGGATATTACTATCAAACAATTACATTCAGTTGTAGGTGAAGAACTCAGTTATATTATGTCTATCCTACATTTAGAAGAATGCATGTCAAAGTAGGGAATTCGCCAGCTTCTGTTCTGGGAAGCTTGTGTTCACCATCATTGTGGCTGCATAGGTGTACAGAATACAGAATGTAGTCACTTATGGTGCTTTATCTGTTGACAAATATCACATTACAAGCTACGTACAAGTTCACTTTTTTTTCTGCCAAGACAAAGAAACATTGAAAACAGTTGAAGTAGTAGAAAGGCATATATAGTTGTGAGAAAATAAAAAGTCCTAGAATTTGGGAAAAAATGATGCAAGAGAAAGAATGGAGTTACATGCTGTCTGACTTTACCTTTTTTGACATCAGACTATCTTGGGTTTAGTTACTTGACAAATTAATTTCTCCTGAAAAAGAAAGCCATAGTTGTATGCTATCTGTATAGAAGATCACTGAAATGGTTGAGACATATAACAAAGACAGGTGTGACCATCAATAGCAGAATAAGATCTAGCCGTCATTTACCTGTGTCTAGAAATAGTGAATTAAGAAGCTTCCAAATGTATTATGAAGCCAGAAAAAGAAGTACAAGACACTTGTTTCATTGTTTTAGATTTTCTGTTGGAATAAAATCCTATTTTCTCCTTTCAGTGTGCATTGGTATGGATGTTCCTACTTGTATCATTGGCAGGCTATTTAAGGTGTTGCTTTATTAAGTACTCTCAGATACTTTCTCACAATCCTTGTAGCATTCCAATTATGTATTGTAAGCACATATTATAATTATTCACCCTCATAAGTGAGGAAATTGAGACCTACAAACATAACACAACTGCAATCACATTGAGTGTAAAGTGTCACAAGATCTGAATCGGATCCTCAGAAATGGTTTGTGATATTTCCTTTCTTTAAAGTCCCATTGAACTTGGGATTAACAAAGTCATACTTTAAGCATATTTTGGACAAGAAAAGTGTGAAATACTTGATGAAATGCTTGATGTTTTTCCAAACTTAGACTCCTTTAAAAATAATTCTTGGGTATAATAACATTGAAATCTTCCTTTAACAAAACAATGGATTAATAAACCCAGTTCTGTGTACCCTTAAAATCACACTTCCTTCAAATATAAAATTTTAAAGAAACTTATTCCTTATTGCCTTTACAACTTAGCAACTATATTAAAATCCAATGAAAGTTATATTAAGTCAACTCTTAAAGTATAACCAATCCTAATATTTAGTCAAGTACAAATGAATATCAAAAATCAAAAGAAAGGAAAGTTAAAACTAGAGCCCTTTTCAATTTTGAAGTAATGTGCATACACTGAGTGGCATGGCCATTTACTTTATTCATCATGGAAGGGACTAGTTTACCATCTCTGTACTCATGAATAAATCCATGTATGACAACAGCAAAAAAGATGAAAATATACTGTAACTTAAAAAATATGTGCTACATTAACCATAAGGAATTACAGAATGGGAAAATAAATTAATTATTATGAAGGCATTTCTAGGCACAAAATTATTTCAATATATTAAAGAACCATGCTATTAACAGAGTATATTTTATGAGGTTTGCTCACATTCCTCTGATAACATGCACAAATAGTTGTTCTCTTCCTGCATACCACTA